GGTAATTATTCAGGCCCTAAACCCTAAACCCTACTTTACAAAGCTATTCCAGAAGATTATTTAGGGCCTAAGCCCGAAACCTTACCTTAAAACAGGCTATTTCAGAAGTGGCGTAATTATAATATTTAGGCCCTAAACCCTAAACCCTAAACCCTCAACCCTCAACCCTAAACCCTAAAGCCTCAACCCTAAACCTAAACCCTACATTAAAATGGCTAGTTCAGAAGTGGCCTACGAGCTCTCGACATGGAGTTGGGCGGAGCGATGATGTTCGTCTTTTTCACAACCTCGGCGTTTTCGGGTTTGGGGGAAGGGCTTTTGGGTTGAGGGCTGACGGTTTAGGGTTTGGGGTTTGGGGAGTTTGGTGAGTGTTTGGGGCTTAGGGTGTGCAATGTAGAGTGGGCGTGCCGTGGGTGCGTTTCTTGAGGCCGGCGCGTGCCCTCACTGTTTGCCTTCTTGCATCAGCATGTAGTCAACGTAGTCCCCCCAACCACTGCAACTTTTTTGAATTCGGATTTCAAGCCTCGCTCAAAGGGGGGTTTTCTTGCCTTGTGTTTCCTCCCCCAATCCTGCCGAAAACGAAGAGATGTCGCAGCAGCCACAGCGAGCGGCAGGCAACCCGCCCAATGCCCTGAATCGCCACATGCGATTTGAAGGCAAATCATATACCGAAAAAGCCCAAAATATCACAATCGCACTTCAATATCAACACCCCCGAAAGCACTACCTCCCAAACCTTCAACTCTAAATTGTGGGGCGTGAATTCATCGCCCCCTCTTCAGTCCCTTCGGGATGCAAGAGTCCAATAACATGACGGCTGCATCCAACCAAAGACCCCTTGGGCCATTGGTACGATCGAACTCTCTGATGCGGATCTACGGTTTACAAAAGTAGATCGTATGAGGGGCGCGGGGTCTGGAGATTTGAGGCTTCATTTACTTCAGGCGTTCAGTGTTTTAGGGCTGCGGGTTCAGGGACTTGGGGTGTTTGGGGGCTTTAGGGAAAACTTGGACTTGTGATCATACAAAGGTACATGCATGGCAGGGGACCATAAACAGAACCATGGGCCACAATACAACCCATGCAACAAACCTAAGCCTTGGAAAGTGACGTCCGGAAGTTTACAACTGGCACACCACAACAAAATCATCCAGGAAATGCTGAGCTCCCAGCACGGACGAGGATTAACGAGGGTTCCCCTTCACATCGATCCAAGGGCACCTTGGCTGCATGCTGCGGTCGTTATCATGCTACGGCTTTGGGTATAGGGTTGTGATGTTAGAGTTAGAGTAGCAGTAGCAGCATCAGCAGCAGGGGCTTGTTGTTTGGCAACAGCCTTCTCGCAACGTCGCGCATTCAGGACGTACAGAAAAGCCAAGTGCAAAATAAAGATGAACAGCAGCCGAAACCGGCAAAGTGTAGAAGTACAAGCAGCAGCAACAGTGGGAGCAGCAGTGGTGGACGTAGTGGTCGTAACAGTAGTAGTAGTAGTAGTAGTAGTAGTAGTAGTAATAGTAGTAGTAGTAGGCGCCCCCCCCCCTACCAACTACACTTGCTTAAAACCATGTTAAGAGCACATCCGTTTTACTCGGTATTTACGGCACTTTCGGC